ATTTCTTATTCTATCTTTTGGGATTCTTAAGCACCATTTGTGCTTTTAAAAATATCTCTATGTTTTCAGAGATATATCTCCGGACACCTTTTTTTTTATACTTAACGTTGGTTTTTTCCGGAGCTACATCTACAGAATGTTTTTATTTATATAGCTTCAGAACAAATCAGAATACATTTGCGCTAGAGTCCCTTCTCTTCCCTCATTCTTCATTTTTCAACTTCTTACTCTCAAACTCTCCAAACTCTCTCAATCTTCAAAAAAAAATTCCACCAAACTTAATTGTTTTTAATCAAGTTTGACAAGGAGTATTCATCTCAACGATCAAGACAACCAACTCATTCAAAGCTCGATATAACTGGTAAGTTTTCGAGTTTCTTATATATTTTCGAGTATTTCACGTAAACGAGTTAGAATATAGTTTTAGAAATCGTTAGATAGTTTTAAAAACATAGTTTAGAGACAATGTAGGTATTGTTTGTTGGCTGAAATGGACGATCAGAGGTTGAAAAAACTAATTTTCATGGGTGGGGGACGCCATTGACGTTGTTGTTGAAGTTGCAGGAAGTTTCGGAGCTACATCTACGGAACAATTAACGTTAGGGCAATTTCGTAGATGCAGCTCCGGAACAAGTCTAACTTTATGAATTCTTGGTTTTTCTGCATGTATACATCCAGAAGTAAAAAAATGTAAATTTTATTTTTCTTTTTTGTTTTTTAATTTATTTGTATTTAATTGTTTTTTATTGGTTATACCTTGCAGACATTATGGCAGACAAAGAAGATAGATTGCGACTTGGACGGGTTTCACAACATGCATCTGTGAGACGCGAGCGGAGTCAGGCCACTGTTACCGAGACCGATATAGCTGAGGCGCATCTTTCTTTATCACATGCCCATGACATTCCATCGACCTCGTATCCCACCTCATCATCCACTTCTTCATCCCGGAGGCGTCGGGATTCAGTTGAGGGTTCATCACAGGCCCCGCCCTCCTGCAGGCCTCGTCGGAATACTCCTGTTTCTCCTCTTGATGTTGATCCGGTGTCACCTCTAGAGGGTGATGACCCACCACCAGAGGATGCTGGTGACGACAACGATAATGAGCTTAAGGGTTTCCTAACGGGTCCCTCAGATATGTCCCTGCTGACAGGGTACACGGACCATACCACCATACATGTTTGGGATGGAGAGGTAACATTACTCATATTGTTTCTTTTTTTTCATTGTAAATTTATAATTTGTACCATTGTTTCTTATTAACACTATTTCTTATTTATGGAAATTTTCAGACTCGTCAGCCACAAAAGTTCTATAACCACGGACGATAGATATTATCTTTGGAGCAACCACAAAAGGCTTGGTTCCAGGATGTCCTTGTTGCCTCTGGCTTGAAGGACCTTTGTGAGATCGCTTACAACGTGATCCACAACGGGATGCTGATGGGCTTTGCGGAGAGATGACACCCTAAGACGTCCTTCTTCCATCTACCGCATGACGAGCTCACGATCACACTGGACGACATCTCCTGTCTGCTACATATATCGATCAGGGGTGTCCTCCTCCGTCACGATAGGATGACGAAGGAAGATGCGAGAGAGATGTTGGTCAATGAGCTTGGGCTGATCCACTGGATGCGCTGGAGGAGGTGGATAAGACCAGAGATGATCATGTCAGGTTCTCCTTTCTCACCCGTAGATTTGGTGAGGCCCTCGTTGTTGCACGCCAGGCAGATGGTGATCCAACTGAGGTTGAGATACAAAGACAGCGTGTGTTAAGATGTTATTTTCTATTTTTAGTCGACACTCAACTGTTTGTGGACACTTCCTCCACATATACAGATGTCGCTTACCTGAGGTATTTTTTGGATTCCACACGGATTCATAAGTACAACTGGGGGGGGGGGGGGGGGGGGGGGGGCGACTACCCTGGTTTACACATATTCGAGGCTGGGAGAGAGATGCATGTGGAAGACCAGGACTGTGGCAGGGAGTGTGAGACTGCTTGTGGTAACAATCTTATATCCTTCGATTTTTTTTCATTTCTTTTCATTCTATATTCGAGATAATGCTTGATCCTGATGTTTCTTATTTTCATTTCAGGCTTGAATATTCCAACATTTTCCCATGATCGTCGGATGAGGGAGTGTACCTGATTACACAGAGTAAATGTTGTGTGCCCGTGCCTTTCTCCTGCTTAGGGGGACCAGGCGGTCGACACTTACAGAGTCTCTCGATCGCTTGGCTGCTGAGGACATCCGGTACAACGTCTATGTTGATCACCGTGTGGCGCGCTCGTTTGACGACATCTCCCTATTCTTAGGATGGTTGGCATGCAATTCGACCATAAACGTTCCATATTTTCTCAAGCGTGTCATGCGGCAATTCGGCTACACACTCAGATCATTCCCAAACACCCAACTGTCTCCGCTCCTCTCGGCTTGACCCGTATGAAGATAGAGGAGGTCTATGCCGAATACCAGAGGCACTTGGTACTTGATGAGGCTCGGGTGACCAGAGCGCCGACAGACTAGAGCTGCGTTGATTGCTACATCATGTGGTTTTTCACCGTATCACACCCTTACATGGTGCCCACTGTCGAGGGATCACCACCCATACCAGCTCATCAGGAGATCTTAGAGGAGCAATAGTCTCAGTTGGACCACACTCAGAATGTCTTGCTTCGTTGTTGTGAGATAGTGAAGATGGGGCGGACAGACATTGCTGCCAGTTTCTTCCCTGAGGGGTCTGACCACAGGCGTGTATTGGATGACATCATTGCGGCGGCAGCAGAGGCACTTATGTACCGTAGACATCACGCCAAGACAGGTGGGATCGACGGCCGAGGACACAGACCGGTAGGTCGATGAGGCGGGAGAGGCAAACGGGGCGACAAAGACATTACGGTCAGACACGCAAAGTAGTGACTACGGTGTTTTTTTGATGTGCTATATTTTTGATGACATTGATGTACCATATTACTTCTTTTATATATATATATATATATATATATATATATATATATATATATATATATATATATATATATATATATATATATATATATATATATATATATATATATATATATATATATATATATATATATATATATATATATATATAAATATATATATATATATATATATATATATATATATATATATATATATATATATATATATATATATATATATATATATATATATATATATATATATATATATATATATATATATATATATATATATATATATATATATATATATATATATATATATATATATATATATATATATATATATATATATATATATATATATATATATATATATATATATATATATATATATATATATATATATATATATATATATATATATATATATATATATATATATATATATATATATATATATATATATATATATATATATATATATATATATATATATATATATATATATATATATATATATATATATATATATATATATATATATATATATATATATATATATATATATATATATATATATATATATATATATATATATATATATATATATATATATATATATATATATATATATATATATATATATATATATATATATATATATATATATATATATATATATATATATATATATATATATATATATATATATATATATATATATATATATATATATATATATATATATATATATATATATATATATATATATGGATGTATGTCATTTTATATTCATCTGTAACAATTAATTTTCATCTGCGACAAACAAAACTTAATTAAAAAAAAACTGTTCTGATAAGATTTCGGAGTTGCATCTCCGGAAGCATCCAGCGTAAAGAAAAAATGCGTTCTGATGTTTATCTTTGAAAACAGAGGGCATAAAAGGAATTTTGCTAAGTGCCTAAGAATATTAAGGAAGTGGATTAAGAAACTCTCAATTTTATCATGGAATCATGAGCCTCTCATTTCGAGCCACCCACCGTTTATATGCGCACCAAGCCCAATAGTACCGAGCGCGAGAGGGTGTACTGAAAAAACCAAGTTTCACGTATCGATATTTCAGGTCACCCACCATTTATATCCATGCGCTAAATCCAATAGTGCTAGACGTGAGGGGTATACTGGGAAAAACCTAAGTCCCACGTTGGTTAAAGATAAAATTCACAAATGAATTTATATAAAGTGATACCTCTAACTTTATAAATTAATTTTATAAAAATAAATTAGGTCAAACTTTAATTCTATATTTTTTTTAAAATTAAATATTAATATACTAACAAATACATTATATATCGTATATGAATTTATATGAAGAACATACGTTCAATATCCGTCATGTGATTACGAAGATAGGTTGATTTTCAATATGACAACATCTTTGATCGGTTTCTATATGACTGAAATATATCATACATTCATACTGATAAAACAGATTTATAATATATATTTTTTTATTGGGAGCATTTTGGGATGTTATTTTCGTTATAGTAATTTAGTAGCAGAATGTATTTCTATACATATTAATTGAATTCAGTCATTTATTTGAGATCAGTAAACTTACATTAAATTTTCACCAAACCATCTAACTTTGGTATATATATTATTTAATGATGAAATTTCTATACAGGTTGCCTACTTCTCAAAATTTCTAAATTCTTTCTTTGTTGAGAAGTATAATTCATAACAAAAATATTTTATCTAGAAGTATATTTTTGAAAACATGTTTGATTTTGTACTTGATGACATGTGTACGTGGAAAATGAGTATTTTGACCATCTACTTTCTTTTACTCCCATCTTAGACGGCAAAGACTTATTGCTCACAAATTCCACAAAGAAAAAGACATTGACTTCATTTTCCATTGCTCACAAATTCCACAAAGAAAAAGACATTGACTTCATTTTCCTATCATAATATGGACCTCACTTCCCTTTCTCTCCTACTCAAAACCACTTGTTCTCTTTTCGCTCATCTCTCAAACCATGAGCTACTCAACCTTAATCCAAACCAACTCTCCTAACAATCATGAAGGAGAAGACAAAGACTTCTGTTTCTGGACTTCACCGTCTTTAGAATCTTCAAGGAGCAAAGATATTTTGGAAGGAAAGAAGGAACTTATGGAGATGATGCAGCGCATGCCGGAGTCGAGCTTTGAACTCTCTTTCCCAGAAGCTAAACTTGAACCAGAACCGGTGGAAAGTAAAGTTCAACAACCTCAACACAAAAAGATGAATGAGAAGAAGAAAATAAAGAAGGAAAACAAAAGCAACAGTACTGGTAGACATGGTAAGATATTGAGGGCTGAAAGCATGGACAGTGAAACATTCTTACTGAAGATGGTTTTTCCAACTTCTCTTGATTGGAAGAAGAAGAATACTAAAAGAAAAAATGGTTCCAAGGTAGAAGAAAAAGATAAAGAATGGAGAATCAAAAGATTTTTCACTCAACATAGACAAAATACTCGTAGCAGTAGTAGTAGCAGCAACAATAGCAATGACAAAAGCAGGTACATATATGATATTCTTTTTACAAAATCTTAGATAATGACCATAATAATAGACACTGATACACGACACAGATACTAACACGTTGCATTTCGTTTGATTAGGTATGTTGATCGCAGCTTCTCATTCTCACAAGGTTGCTTCCCATTCTTTGATCATATAAAAAGCAAAGTAAAGAAGAACACTTTGAGACTTGGAGGATGAATTTCTTAAATTGATTACTCTTGAGTTATTCTTGAATTCTAGGGTTTTGATTGTAATAGTGGAACTCATTTTTCATATTTGTCAATAATTAAAATCCAGTTTCACAAATAGGCCAAAGATGTGATTTGAAAGCTGTTAGCTAAATAATTGTATAAAAATATATTGTAGCTAAATATTACTCCCATGTCAATTTTGTGTCAAATATAATTGATCTATTTTAGTTTTATGATAAAGAAATTATTTTAATTGTATATTCTAATTAATACTATTTGTACTATTTTAATTCAACACTTTTTATTTTGCAATTTATAGAATGGTAAATAATAAATATAGGATAAAATTAAATTTAATAAAATTTATTTTTTTCTCTCTCTTTTAATTATATGTTTTTAAAATATATTTAAATCAAAAGAATAATTAATATATATATTTTTTTTAGGAAAGTAGTTAAGGTTGAAACAATATGCACTGCTTATACCGAGTCAAACTACTACGTGGATGTGACTTAGAGGTGGCAAAAGACTCTTTTGGACCGGGCCTAAAGTAAAATCAAAAGAAACTTTGAATTATTATTTGACACCTCAACCTATGCACTTAAAGATGGCAAAGTGGACCGTCTGTCCCGTTTTTATAAGTCCATTTAAAAGTGGGTCGGATCAATTTAGACGTCCGAACTTAAAAGGCAAACCCGCCTCGTTTACTATCGAATTGACGGATTGGCGGGTGGGCCCGTTAATTTTTTATTTTACAATTTGATTTATTACCTAATTTATAAAACAATTATTTATTACTAAAGAGGTCGACAAAAGATTTTTTTAAGAACGCATAATAGAACTTCAACATATCTTAAGTCAACATTTCAAAAAAATAAAATAAATAAAGACCAATTACAACAAAACAAAAAACAAAATAAACTCAAGCACAATAAAAAAAACGTATCAAAATAAATAAATAAATATAATACATATCATCCTAATCCTATTTAAAAACTAACTAATAAATAAATAAATAAACTAACTAATAAATAATACAAAATCTCCCCAACTAACTCTTTGCTTATCCTCAAGCAAAGTATTTCTCTCAATGAAAACAAGAGGATTTTCCCAAGCATTTAATAATTGTTGGTTGAAGCATGAGGAATTCTTGAGTTTTGTGAAAGAGGAGTGGGATTCTTTCTTGGTATCAGGGAGAGGGGATTTCATTCTTAAAGAGAAGTTGAGGATGTTGAAAGGGAGGTTGAAGTGGTGGAATAAAGAGTTACTCGATTGGGTGGATTTAAAGGTTGAGGAAGCTGTCTTTGATCTAAATAGTTTAGATGATAAATGTGCAAGTCTTGGGGGAGTCATCACATAAGAAGTTGTTACTATAAGGGTTTTAGCTAACAAATCTGTTTGGAGGAATCTTAATTACAAGGAGAGCTTGCTTAGACAAAAGTCAAGGGTGAGTTGGTTGAAGGAAGGAGATCTCAATACAAGGTTCGTTCAGAATTTTATGAGGGAGAGACAAATAAAAAACCATATTTTTTGTGTGAAAATTGTTGATGGTTTATCTGAAGATGTCTCGGTTATTAAGGGTGTTGTGAGCAATTTTTTCAAATTCATTTTTTTGGAGAGCACCTTGGTCATATCGATGATTGATGAAATAAAGTTGAAGCCCCTGTCCTTGGATGATAGATTGGCTTTGGAGCGTCCATTCACGGAGCTTGAAATCAAGGAAGCGGTGTGGAGTTCTGAAGGAGACAAGAGTCTAGGGCCGAATGAGTACTCCTTTAGTTTCTTCCAAAGCTGCTGGGAGGTTATAATGGTTGACATTATTAGATTTGTGTCTGATTTTCATTCTAACGCTTCCCTCTCCAAGGCTGCTACTACTTCTTTCTTAACATTAATTCCGAAGTGTGATAATCCTCAAGAGATGAATATGTATAAGCCAATTTGCTTGGTAAGCTATTTTCAGAAGATCTTATCAAACGTACTTGCAGGTAGATTGAAATCCGTCATTGGGAGCATCTCTTCAATGGAGCAAACTACCTTTGTTCCTAAGAGAAACATTTTTGACGGAGTTTTAGTTGTGAACGAAGTTTTAGATGTGGCGAAGAGGTTTAAGAAGAATTGTTTGCTGATGAAGATTGATTTCGAGAAGGCTTACGACTACGTGAATATGGTTTTATTGAGGTACCTTTTGAATTGTATGAATTTTAACATTAAGTGGAGGAGTTGGATGAATTCTATAGTCTTCAAAGGTACAAGTTATGTGTTGGTTAATGGCGACATCACACAAGATTTCTCTTTATGTAAGGGGTTGAGACAAGGTGATCCCTTCTCACCTTTCCTTTTCGTCATGGTTATGGAAGGTTTAAATGGTATCATGAAAAAGGCGGTTTTTGAAGGCTTGTTCTGATGTGTCATACCTAAAATTTGTCCTACTTGTATAATATTTTCATCTGTACATCCGTCCACTAAATTTTATTCAAAAATAAATAAAAAATGTGTTGTTGTTGTCTTGAGACCATGTGTTGGGTTGAGTGTCAGGTCAGTGGTGTATACAGTTCATTTGGTTTGACTTAAGTTTGGTCAGACAAGTTTGGTTTCAAGGTTGAGGCTAGGGTTACACAATTCAAGTGGTGTGTGACAGGGGTTTCAGTTAGGATTTGTGTGTAAAATCAAGATAGTTGTGAATGGACCAAGTTAACAGACTGTATCAAGTTATCAGCGCTTCATGGTTAAGGATCATTAGGATTCAATTGAGGTTGTGCAATGTTTTGAAGTTCATGTTTCAACTCCTCTAGCTTTAAGGCATACTTCTTGGTCAAGAAGGCTCATAGGTTTTGGAATAAGTAGTTCATATCAAGTCTAGTCTATTGACTTAAGTGATCTCATTGTTTCAATATTCTAATGCATCTAAAGATTCATATGATTTCATCATTCATTTTCTCAGGAGGTATTCAAAGGTTGTTGGGATTTGGCCCTTAGTATGTTTGTGAATCCGATTCAAGTGCAGTGTTGGATCAAAATCAATCAAGGTGTGCATTGGTGGACCTAAGTCAAGAAGACATTTTCATATATTTCAAGTCCATTGGTGGACCGATTTTCTATTTTTCATCCAGATTCACTTTAGTATCCATTTCAAAACCTTTTTTTTTCGTTTTAAATTCACATGTCATTATCTGAATAATTCAATGTCCATTTCTAAGCCATTCGAAATATCCAAATGTTTAACCATAATCCAATTCTTTTTTTTTATAAATTTTTTATTGTTATATTTTTTAATCACTTAGGCCCATGATCATTATAAATAAAAACTATATCATTTTTTTAAATCCCATTTACTCATATTAGTCTACAAATTATGAGGAAGGGCCCATTACATGATTACATACTAAGCCCATCATAATTTTTTTTTACAACAATACAAAAGACAAAAAAACAATAAGCCAAATTACACAGCTAGCCATGAGTCTTTTTTCCACGCGAGCCAGTCCACAACCCGCTGCACATGATTTACGTACAACAACTACCTGCAAAAGGCAAACAAAACCAAATGCAAGCAATTCGCCAAAATTTTGTGAGCCACAACTTGACATCAGGCGTATCTCACCAACCTACAATCCAAATTCTGCAACCATGATTCATAATAGCTTAGAACCTCACAACAAGCCATGTTACATGATTCACACCTTCATACAATATGCAACCTCCACACAACAATGACTCTCACCATATCCTACGCAAACACGCTCAAGACAAGGAGAAAACCAGCTTCAGCAGCACATCTCAAGAAACAATTACACACAACAGCAAAACATACCAAGCCAACAACCTCACCTGCAAGAACCGTTATACACACACGACAAATAAAAAAACCTCCACCTCACAATACAACGACACACAGCAGACCCCATACAACAAAATGCAACACATCAATTACACAATAACTTGCAAAACCACAACCTCTCTGCATAAAACGAACACACATAACCTATACATGACAAAATTAATAACCACACTCTACGCACATGATACACACAACTTGCAATAATCGTACACGCCATGGCACCATAATCTTTCCACAAAAATTCTTCCCTCAAATACCCTCATATTCTCTCTATAAATGACACCCTCCTCCCTCTCATTCGGGAAGCCTCAAGAGCCACTGTTGTTTTCGGATTTGAAAAATTGAGTTTGGCACAAGGAAATTATCGGGACGAGTCGCGTACTAGGTCGCTTTCTTTAAGACGTTTCGCCGTACTGCCAAAATATGCAAAGCAGTGGATTTACGACGACGCCTCCAGGATAAAATAGCCCGTTCAAAAACTTACGATTATCAGTTGCACACTGATAAATCGCTCTAGAAATACACCTTTCTAAGTCACAGTATCTGGCGAAAATAACAAGTCGGAAAAACAAGAAAAGAAAGATTTTAGATGAAGAGAATTAAGGGAGAGAAGAAGGAAATTAAAATTCGTGTGAACTTGTGAAATCCGAAGTGCTCACTACTGAATTTCTACCCTGTATTTATAGGCAGCTACCTGCACCTGAGTAGGGAGAAATTCGTGGTGAATGGAGAAAATCGTGGGAGAATGGGAAAAATCATGGTGAATGGAGAAAATGGTGGGAGAATGAGAAAATCGTGGAGGACTGGATCTAGTCAGTATGACAGTTATTGACCAATTATTTTCTTAATTAATTAATATTATTATTAATTAATTTTCCACCGAATTATATTAATTAATTAATGATAATTAAATTCTATAAATTCGGGTCCAAAAAATAATTCATCTAGACCGGACCGAACCGAGCCGAGCCGAGCCGGCCGGCCGGACAGACGGCGGCGGCGCGCGCGCGTGTGTGTCTTGATGGTCATGGGTGTGTCCTCACTCCTTTCACAGAATTGGGTGCCCTTTAGGGCCCAACCCAATTGACCAAGTTGGAATATATAAACACTACTAATATTTCCATTCCCTTCAATGTGGGACTAAAATGAATCTTTTCAAATTCACTTCT